AAATATTTTGAAGCCCGTTTTGAGTGTGTCCACCTTTTCCACAAACACTGTTTCTTTAGAATCAAAGAGACCACTCTGGTAGCATTAGCGTAAACCTCCTGAGAAGCCTGACTGATCCCATCCTCTTTTCACATCCCAAACAAAGCCTGAATGTGCTCTATACCAAAAACCATCCTCAAGGGATTCCCTTATTCGTATGCGCACAAGCCTCCATTGTTGCTCCCAGGAAATCTATCTCGCTACCTCCCTTCAGGTTATTTAAAATCAAAAAGGGGCCACAATTTCTAAAATGTTCTTTATACATCTAAAACAAAAGGGATGTCAAGATTTTGGAGCCAAAGTTGAAATAGCTGAGTGCTATTTAATGGGTATTTAAATCCCAAAAGGCTGATGGGACCAGGCAGGATTCTCATCTCTAATATGACACTATGAGCATTTCTGTGACAGCTCAGACGAATAACACTTTTATCACAGAAAGAGCCAGGTTGTCCCCAAATCTCACCACCTGCAACTTTCTTTTATTTTTAGAACAACTCAGCAAAATAAAATTCTGTTTACTGCTGGACATTGTTTCCACATATACATCAAACAGACCAAAAAATAAACAACCCAAGCTGCATAGGCAAAGGGGATAAAAGAAACCTTTTATGTCTGGGTTTTTTAAAACTATCTCATACAAACCAACTACTTAGTACAGTGAGGTAAATATACAAAACAGTTACGGGAATGCTTGGAGTAAGACTGGAGTTTGTTGTTTACAAAGTTTTTCCTTTCCTTTGAGATCGTAATGACCATGGTTACAGCACAAGTAGAGTCAGAAGTAGAACAGGGAACACTCTACTGTACTCAGTCCCACACTAAGTCAGAAAAGCACACGAGGGGCTCTTTCTCCTGGTGAGATTCAGTGGAGCAATACTGGTAGGCAAGACAGCAGCACCCACGGTGGCAGCCACAATGCAGGCATCACCCAGCAACTGCTAACAGCACTTCTCAGCCAGAACTACTGTGCACGGAAGAACCGACCTTTTTTTCTCTTTGTTTTGAAGATTTAGTTATTTATTATGTATACAGTATTCTGCTTGCCTGCATGCCTGCATGACAGAAGACACCATAGTTGGTTTTGAGTCACCACGTGGGTGCTGGGAATTGAACTCAGGACCTCTGGAAGAGCAGCCAGTGCTCTTAACCTTTGAACCATCTCTCCAGCCCTGTCTGAAGACCTTTTATTTTTTAATTAATTTTTCTTAAATTTATTTATTTTATGTGTATGAATGTTTTGCTGGCATGCATATATATGCATATGCACTGTGGGTGTGTGTTACACTTGGAGGTCAGGAGAGGGCATCAGATCCCCTGAAACAGGAGTTTTAAATGGTTCTGAGCCCCCAAGGTAGGTACTGGGAATAGAACCCAGGTCCTCTGCAAGAACAAGTGCTCTAAGTCCCTGAGTCATCTCTCCAGTACCCAGTCCAAAGATTGCCTAGGATCTAAAGATCTTTTATTGTCAAATGCTGTGGCACACACCTTTAATTCCAGCATTTGGGAGATGGAGATGTAAGGATCTTTGTGAGTTCAAGGCCAGCATGGTCTTTATAGGGAGTTCCAGGACAGCCAAAGCTACATAGAGAGAGCTTATTTCAAAATAAATAAATCAGCATCTCTTATTGTTACAGTGGAAAAACAGGTTTACTGTCAACCAGTGGCAGCATCCTGGGATATTGCAGAGAGAAATAAGGCACACAAGACAGTCCAAAACAGGGAATTATTTGGCTCAAAATAGCAATGGTGTTGAGATTAAGAAACATCTGTCCTCGACATCTGTCTCAATTTTTAGTGAAGACTTACAGCAACTGGACAAAAGACACTATGGTGGCGTGAGAGGACCACGAGACGAGGGAGAATGAATCTGTTATCATTTTACATATTACATATTAACACACTGCCTAGATTTTAAAAAGAGAGATTGAATCCCCACAGCATCCTAGACACTGGAAGACTCAGGGACTTTTTTGACATCATTCAGCAGGAATGGAGGAGAGTCAAACAAAATGTGTCACTTCACAAAGCTGTGACACTTAGACCTGGGCTTGAGTCAGAGAGGTCACCAGTCTGACTTGGAACACGCCACTGGACTTCTCAAAACCTCGACTTGGAAAATAAATGAGCTGGGATGAAGCTCATGGCTGTAATCCCAGCACTTGGGGAGCAGGATTGCCACAAGTTAAAGGTCAGTCTGGGCTATTCAAGGTAAGTTACAGGCCTAAAGTAGAGTATGGTGGCTCTAGCCTTTCATCCCAGTAGAAGCAGGCAAGTCTCTGAGTACAAGGCCACTCAAGGCTACATAGTGAGACAAAATAAAACAAAAAATTAAAAAAAAAGGAAGCAAGCAAGCAGTGTTTTACTACTGCCCAGTCTGATTCCCCTCAATGTGTACTCAATAAACTTGCTTCATTTCTAAAAACACAAAACAAAAAAACAAAACAAAAAACCTTGGGCTGAAGAGAAGGTTCAATGGTAAAGAGCTCTAGAGGACCCGGGAATCCCAGCATCCACAGGGCAGCTCACAGCCGTCTGCAACTCCAGTTCCAGAGGATCTAGTACCCTCACAGATATGCATGTGTAGGCAAAGTATCAATGCACATAAAAATAAATAAATTAGAAAAAAAAGCTTACAGAAATTTATCCAGTACCAAGCTACTAATCACTGTTTTTTCCCTGAGAATCTGGGGCAGGCGACCGATAGTCATTACTAATCACTTATTAAAAACAAGATTTAAAGCTGGGCATGATAGCAGAAATCTATATCCCAGCGCTTGGACTTGGGAAGTTGTAGGCAGGAAGGTCATGAGTTCAAGGCCAGTCTGTTTCACAGACTGTTGAGACCTACCAAGGCTATAGTCTTAAACAAGAATCAAGAATGAATGTTTAAAGACATGTATTTTCCACAGCCAAGGACCTACTCTTAAACTCCAGGAGGAAATAAACTAATAGAACAACATCTGAAATTGGATAACCTTAGCTGGACAATGGTGGCACATGCCTTTAATCCCAGCACTTGAGAGGCAGAGGCAGGAGGATCTCTTTGAGTTCAATGCAGGCCTTGTCTACAGAGAGTTCCAGGACAGGCCCCAAAGCTACAGAGAAACCCTGTCTCAGGAAAAAGAAGAAAGAAAGAAAGAAAGAAAGAAAGAAAGAAAGAGAGAAAGAAAATGACAGCCCAAATATTTTTTATCAAAATCTTTTCTCATGCAATGTATTTTATTCTGTTCTTTCCTCTTTCATCTCTAGCTATTTTAACCAAGAGGCCTTGAGACGCTCCTGATTATCAACTACACAGGCCAGGTTCTCTTTGTATCTGGGAGCAGAGATCATGGACTGGAATAGGAGAAAGTAGGTGGTTATAAATCCATTACGAAGTAGGGTGTGATAGCCCATGTCAATGGGTGGTGACGGCAGAAGAACCAAGATTCCGAGAACAGCTTCAGCCTGAGTACAGGAGACTTAGTGCCCCACAAAAAAAATGCAAAAATAAAAATAAAATAGAGGCCCGATGAGATGGCTCAGGGAGTAAAGAGCTTGCCTCACAAACCTGGCAACCCAAGTTTGCCCTCCAGAACCCACGCCAGGATGTTGACCCCTGACCTGCACATGGATGGTGGCAAGTGTCCCTCCTCACACCACGCACACGGTGATAAGTAAAAATTTGGAAGTAAGTTTTGAAAAACTCATTATAGTTCCTGGGAACATCTATTTACTGTTTTCTCTGAAGGGAGCTATAGCCATATCAGTGACGCAAAAACTAAATCATTTCAGTCTTCCAACAAGATTTATGAGAAATCACCCTAAAGAACCTATCAGTCTGATAAATATTTCTGGGATCAAGCTCCTCAACAGTTTTTGATACACCATACAACCAGGACTGTTCTTTCAATACAACCAAAGATTCTTCTCAAGTGAGGTCGCACACACTCTGTCCTCTTCAAACAGTTCAGGATGAAAACAAAGCCTCGTTGTTTGGAGAAAATTATCTTTTCATGGCATCTTCTAAATAAATTGCAACTGACTTTGCCATCTGCTATGGCCAAGTCTAAAATCAAGCAACAGATCAAATAAATTTTGAAAGGAAGAAAAAAGGGATTCAAAAGAATCATTAAAAAGCAAGCTTTAAATATCATTCAAGATACATGTGTATCAAAACATCACAAGGTATTCCGAAAATAGTGCAACATTGAGGTTTTTAATACATCACAAGGCTGACTTTAAATAAATTAATAAAGCTATACTTACTTTAACTAAAAAAAAATTAGAACACATTCTAGTAGGGCTGATAATCCTGAATTTGGAACGATCTTCACTAAATGTCATTTTACACACTAGTCTAATTACACTTTCTACCTTAAGCATTTTGACACTTCCATCAACTTTCTAAAGAAGAAGGTGGATTGTTTTGCTATGTTTTTTATAGACTTGCTTCTCAAAGAATGAATTAGATCGAGCCGGATAGGGGAAACCTATTACCAGTGTTGCCATCAATAAAGCATGTGAGTAAGCTCCTGGTAATGTCTCACTGTTTAGGTGACAAGTCATGAAGAATGTACCCGTAGTAACTAAAAGCAATTTTATCTGAACAGCCTGTTTACTTTTTTTTTTTTTAAATAAGCCTGTACTTTTCATCCCAGTCCATTTTCACGCTCAGTACCTAGAGTCGTCATTTATTCTAATCCTCCCCAAAACAGCAGGATTCTCGGGGCTCAGCGGCTTCCCTGGCATTCCCAAGGACTCGTGACAAATTCAAAACATGGTACGAGAGGATTGCTCATTCTCGAAGATGTAATCTTCCTGACAGGACCTCCCGCGCAGCCACCGGTAAACAGCCGAGGCCGGCGGACACGCACACAGCGTCCCCGGAGCCCGGGTCCCGCAGCCCCGCCCGCTCGACCGCCCTCCCGGGGCCACCCGCCGGTTCCCGCTCGGCCGGGGGTGTCGAGCCGCGACCTCACCGGAGGCGGGAGGCGGCTCTCCTTCTTCGCCGGCGCCGGGCGCCAGGGTGACGGCCCCGTCCCTCCAGACGCGGATCTGCGCGGCCGAGCGCACGCGGCGGTGGGGCTGGCGGCGGGCGGCGGCGGCGCGCAGGGAGCCGCAGCACTGAAAGCACACGGCCCACGCCTGCTCCTCGTTGATGGGCTGGTTGTAGAGACGCAGGATCTCCTCCAGGCTCAGCGCGTCCCGGGAGTCCCCCGTCGCGCCGAGCTGCGGCGTCTCGCCGCCCGGGCTGGAGGGCTGCGCCATGCGGCCCACGTCGCTGCGCGGCCGGCGCTCGGCTGGCCGCGTCTCCTCAGCGCCCGAGCATCGTCTCCGCGAGCCGCCGCCTCCGCATCTCCGAGCCGCCGCCGCCCAGGCCGGCTGCGCGCCGCCGCGGGGACTAGGCGGGGACGCCGCTGCGCTCGGCGCTGGCCAGCACGCCGCCGGCCGGTAGCGCGGCGATGGCGTCCGCTCGCCCCGCCCCGCCCCGCCTCGCCCCGCCCCTCCTCGCCTTGGGGGCGCGCAGCCGAGATCTGCCCGAAGCCTGGGGACGTCGTCCCCGGTCCTGAGAGACGCGCGGCCGAGCGCCCAGCGCGACCGGGGGGCGTTGCCCCCGCAGTGAGTGACGTGCGGCTAGAGGCGACGGCTCGGTCGCGGCCGGGGCTGTGGGTCCCCGCGGGGTCCTGCTGCCAAGTCGCTGTCACTCGGTTCGCCTCGCCTCAGCTCGCTCGTAGTCTATTTAAGAACTTGACTTCAATCTGGGGCGATTTACTAAAAAGAAACGGTCACGTGAATCGCCCTCGCCTCTGGCTGCCTGGGACCTCCCCGCTTTGACCTCCTCTTGGCCCCTTGACCACTCGACACTTTGCTCATTTGCAAAATTAATTTTTAGATATATTTATCTATGTATTTATTTGGAAACAGTCTCCCCGGGTAACCCAGACTGGCCTTGAACTCGCTATTCTTCAGCTTTGGCTTCTTTTCTTTCTTCTTTCTTTTCTTTCTTTCTTTCTTTTTTTTTTTTTTTTTTTTTTTGGTTTGTAGACCAAGCTAACCTCGAACTCAACAGAGATTCACCTGCCTCTGCCTCCCGAGTGCTGGGATTAAAGGGGTGCGCCACCACCACCGCCCTGCTCAGCCTTGGCTTGTTAACTGAGATTGCAAGGTGTGCACCACCACACCGGGCTTGGGTTTCTCGTGTTTGGGAATTCTCTCCAGTCACACACGTTTGGTGTTCAGTGTAAGGGCAGCGATCTTAGGCTTGCCTCCCCGAATTCTCCCATCAGGGCCTGGGGTGCGGTGCACAGCGCTCAGAGGTTCGTTAAAGCAGCCTTTTAGAATGTTACAACAGCCTTCCTGAGGTAGTCCCCGATTAACCGTGCTCATTAACAGTTAACAGCCCAGCCTGTCATATGACTAGGAATTGGTGTCAAGAGACAAAACTAAGGGTAGTTATCCATAGAACGGTAGGGACCTCCCTGAACCCGTTTAAGTGTGCAATAAAACAGGCAATTCTTAAGCAATAAGTCCATCCATTGGTAGATGGTTTTGGTTGGTAGCGTGCCACCCATGCTAGTCTTCCAGATCCCTAGAGTTGTAGCATCAACCAAGAAAGAAAATCATAGTAGGTACCATTTTGTGTGGAATGCGGGAAACTGCACGCTACAGTTAATCTTATACTAGAAATCATAATGATTTGGTCATAAGTAAGATGCCACCATGCAGACAGCAGGAATTGAAAGAAAAACGATAAGAAAAAAAATGGTAAGAAATGGAGACGCGATCAAGGGGAAAAGCTCCATAGGCACCTTTCGTTTTCACTCCAAGAGAGGTAAAACAAAGCCTTCCAGTAGAATCACTTAATTATTGGTTCAGAATCTCCAACGTAAAAACGCAGTATTTAGGGCCAGCGAGATGGCTCAGCGGGTGAGAGGACTTTGCTGCCAAGCCCGACAGACCAAAAAGCTACAGGAGAGAACCCAGTCCACGAAGCCAGTCCCTGAACTCGATGTGCATGTGTGCACCCACAATGCACACAAAAACATGTTTAAAAAATTCATGTAGCATTTCTGTGTGACAAAACTCTGAGGCAAAGCCTCTTTCCTGGTTTGTGAGACTAATGCATAGTAATACTAGAGTTACTATGGTATATTATGTAATAACATTAATATGCTAATAATCCCAAATCTTGCTATTTTAAAAGTCTGGACTCTGTGTGGCTTTTGAAAATAAAGAAGAGCTTAAAATTCTTCAAACAATGCAGGAAAACAAATGGGCCACTTTTGTGGACAACATCGCCACCTTCTGACCTAATGGAGTATTGCTGCCCACTGCCCATAAGCCAGCTTTGTCCTTTGCCTGACCCACTCAGAACACCCTAAATGGATTGATCAAAGGAGTCCATGAGCCATTCACTCAAATATGGCAGTAAATATACATTTAAATAATATAACAATTTTGGGAAGGAGGAAAGAGGTGGAAATAAGCAAAAATTTTGTTAAAACCCAAATTTTAGAATTTTTAAATTATTTATTTTTATTTTATAGGTGCTTTTGCCTGTATGTATGTCTGTGTGAGGGTGCTGGATCCTGGACTTACAGACAGTTACGAGCTGCAATGTGGGTACTGAGAATTAAGCCCAGGTCTTCTGGAAGGGCACAGTCAGTGCTCTAAACCACTGAGCCATCTCTCCAGCCCATAGAATTAGAATTTTTTTTTTTTTTATGTAACCCAGGCTGACTTCTAATATGCTCTGTTGCCAAGGACAAACTCTTGACTGCGCACCCGTGCTTGGTTTCTGCGGGCTCAAACCCAGGGCTCCTGCATGCTAGGCAATAAATACCTCTAACAGCTCAGCTCGACCTACAACCCCCATGTGGAATATGTTTTAAATCTTGTGAAAGCTGATTTGCAACCCTAAGATTGTGTTCATTTCCTGGGTAATAATTTAAAGTATAAACATTTTGAAAGGGAAAATACCATGAATCACAAAGAGGGATTTGAGTTTGGTTTTGTTAGGGACAAATTCTGATATGTAATATAAAGTAAATGTTCTGCCTTTTGTGAGCAGACATGTAATTAAGTTGAAACAAGATGACAGCTAGAACATTGACATGCCTTCTCTACACAGAACGAGTAGGAGGAAAATCCTTAAAACCTTGTCCATATTCTAGTATATATCAACTCAGGTTGTAACTGAACACTGGACACTTTCTGTACAGAGATCTTCGGTATGTTTTGCGGTTCTGATGAGCCCCTCATTCACCATCATGAGGTTCTCTTGTGAGTGACTGCTAGCTTCTCCATGCTCCTCGTGGAGGCCCTATAACCCTGTGCCGTCGTGGGCAGCTTTCTTCTTATTTTCAGCTCAATCTCAAAGGGCCCAAACACCTTTATTTCACTCTAGTCGCTAGCATTATTTTTTACTCTGTAATTTGGGTTTCTAAAAGTGACTTTATAAACTTCAAATGTTCAAACAACCCAATCCAACATTTAAGATATCTTCAAAGCATCAGGACACCAGTAAAAGAAAATGGCATATGCAACTCTGAATATGATCTTAGTTTTCCTTGATTTGTTTATGTTTATTTTAAAAATAGGATCCTTGAGAGTTTTTCTTAGATTTACTTATCACTTTTGTAGAATAGATGTACTTCATGCTTGATGCTCTGGACACGATGCAGGCTGGGCTGTTCCGAGGCCTTTGGGGAGCATGGCCTATCTGTGCAGCCCCAACTTATCCCAGATACTCCCAGACAAATGCTGCTAAGAGGCACATTCACCTGGAAAAGTACACCAAAAGGGGAAAAAAAAATATAACAGTGGTTTTTTTTCATCTTGTAACCTCAGTGTCCAATGTCAATCATTATATTCCACATATTGTAGTGACTTTCAATGCTTCCTTTCCCCAGTTATAAAAACTAAAAGGGTAGTTATTATCCCTGTCTAGCAAGTGGGAAGAGACGGTCACAGGGCAAACTGTAGGGCTGGTAAGTAGAAGGGTAGGAGTGGAGTCCAGGCTTCCTGACCAGCTTCCTTTCTCTGGGGCTGACACTCATCCCTCCTCCTATCAAGTCTACGCCAAGAGGAAACCATTATAATTGTTTAAACTTGATATTTCAAAACACTAACTGAAACCCCCAAATGATGCTATCCTTTCTTGATTAGTCTTTGTAAATTAATTGGCACTCAGGGTTCATCACCATAGTCATCTCCCATAGTAACTGCCTTCCACGTGATCGACTTGGTCCCATTCCTATAAAAACAATTATGAATTATCATAAAGGCTAATTTACAGTTTAGAACTAATATCTTGGGCTGGACAGACAGCTCAGCAGTTAAGAGCACTTGTTGCTATTGCAGAGGACCTAACTTTGATCCCAGTAACTACACCTCTGGCCTCTACCTGCATGTATACACATGGGCACACACACACAAATATACATATACAGACACACAAAAAATACACATACAGATACACCAATACAAATACCAACCAAATGATTGGACTCTCTTCTATGCATACTTTAGAAGATAAATGTGCCATTTAAATCAATTTGTTTTGACAGTCTCATTCTGTAGCTCAGACTTACCTGAAACTTCTGTAATTCAAGGTAGCAACGCTCCTTTCTCAACCTTTGGAGTGCTGTGATTACATGTCTAAGCCACCATATCTGACTAAAGACATATTCTCAAGCCTGGCATGGTGGCACATAACTTTAATCCCAGATGGATTAAAGGCAAGTCGATCTCTGGGAGTTTAAGGCCAGCCAGGTCTACATTGCTAGCGCCAGAACAGCCAGGGCTACATAGAAAAACCCTGTCTTGAAAAAAAAAAAATAGACATTCTCAAAATAATTAATGCTGGAAATACTTTTTATAAAGGATCTGGGGCTGAGCGTACTTGTCACATTACAGAACATTCACCCATCAGAAAATAAAGGCAGTATAGTGAGGGAAAAGAAAAAACGGGGGTGAGAAGGGCTGAAGAGATGGCTGCTCTTCCAGAGGACCCAGCAGCGCCCACATGGCAGCTCACAGTTGTCTGTAACTCTAAGATCTTACACCCTCCCACAGACATACATGCAGACAAAACACCAATGCACATAAAGTAAAAATAAATAAATTAGAAAAAAAGAGGGTGAGGCAGAATAAAAGAAATAGACCATGGGGGTGCACATATGTAATCCCAGCACAGGAGAAGCTGAGGCAGGAGGATCTCAAGTTTGAGAGCAATCTGAGCTGCATAGCAAGATTCTATCTTGAGGAAGGAGATATCACAGTGGGACTCACAGGACATATGGACACCGAAAACCTCTAAATAAAATAGTAGCAAAGGTGGAATAAAAGAACAAAATAGGCATTAGACAAAAATAAAAAGTAAAATGGCAGACCTAAGTACAACTACATCAGTAAAAATGAATATAATATATAATAGTGAATGTGTTTTCCTGGGGGGGTTATTAGGAATTCACTACATACCC